CTAAGGAAAAATTTAACGATCTGGTCCACTTGAGTCAGTTTTGCACATCTGAAAGTGCTAGATCGTTCTATAGAGGCTTACCTTACAACAAAAACAACAAAAACGTAAACAAAAAGAGGAGAAAATAATAAAAGCTAGACAAATGAAGAACAGAAAAAAAATTGTTGTCATCTATTTCGCTTTTTTCCCGTGTTTGTAGTGACTTGCGTTTACATAAAGCAATGTTTCTAAGTTTTGTGTTTTATTATAAATTCCGTTGATTAAATAATACGTTACAAAATAACTATCAAGACTACTTATATAAAGAAGTGCGCAAAATATTTAATTGTATGATGATGTTTAGGGTTTGAAAGTTAAAAATTCAATTTTCTCGAATTAACCTCTTTGTGACATTTCGCCTTTCTTCCGTGTGGTCTTCATGGATCGAAAGGTCTCGTCGAGACGAATCTAAATATGTACTTCCGGTTGCGATCCGACACCGGAAGTGACCCGAAACGCGCATAAAACATCAAGATAGAGCAAATCTGACACCGGATTCGTGATCAGCATGCAAAATTAACTGCTAAATGATATCCATGTCGACATTTGATGAACTAAAAATTGCATTCCGGTTTTGAATTATTATTGATGAATGGTATGTATATTCTTGCTTATATTGTTTGTATTGATCTCTTAATTTTTCTCGCAAAATAAAAATTTCATTTAAAAAACTCGATGTCGAGTTGGTCCGCTAGTTATTATTAAGTCATTAGGAGAAGCGAATCAGGTTTAATCCCCATTGTCCACGCAAACCAAACATGTCTCTTTGTCGATTTGGGTACTGGCCATTAGACCAAAAACTTGTTGGCAAAAACTGAAAGCTCACTTCTATTTCATTTCGCAAGCTGATGAAAGTACCTACATCATGGAGCCGTTGCCAGTATTTGTCGTGAATTTCAAACAGGGTGTACCTTTTAGTGTGCAAGTAAAACGTGTGGTGTCAAATGTATTGAACTATCATCTGAACTTAAAAAAATGTGACAGCTTGACTATTACTGTGGAAAAAGTTTGGAAAATGTACAGTGTGAATGTTTGCAAAATTTATAAAATCCGCGTAAGCCCGTAAGGCGAACTGAAACCGGTACAAAAAAGGAAGAAAAATAGTTTCCAGTACAATTCACGTGAGAATACTTCCGTTGAGGGAGTGAAATCTCGAATAAGGAAATTTTTCCATGAGTTTTTTTTAAGCATTAACCAATGACAGCATAATGAACAGAGTGAAGGATCATGACGACCTAAAGGATTTTTCACCTAAGAAGACCGCTTTGCAATTAAATGCTGGTAACTTTATTACTAGCGGACCAGATAAGCGGCGATATATTTATCTTTATGAATAACATTTTACTGCTCTGTTGTTTCAATCAGCACTGCTCAACAAGTTATCGTTTCTTGGTTTATATTTTATTGCAATAGTACGAGAGCGGAATACTTATTTAAACAGTGAATTTATTACATGTTAATTTTTTTTTAATTTCTTCTGACGTATCGTATAATGTAGGTTTACCCAATAATCAAAGTTATGCAGTTACAAGAACATGTAGTGGAGTAAATAGCAGATGTCATAATAATTGTAATCTCAGGAAAAAAGACAGTTAAGATTTTATACAGATTTAAAAAATTTGTTTAGTAATATATTTCTTAGATCCACACAATCATTGAAAACTGATTCATACTGTTTAAAATATCTTTCTGTTAACGACACTGTCATCGACAAAGTAGAATAAATTCAAACGTCATCATATTTCTCTTCTGTTTATCGTTAAAAATTAATTTATTATTATAATTAATTAATTAATTTTAATTAAATATACCGCTTACAACAGTGTGTTTTACTTCCTTATATAAAGCTTTCATTATATAAAACATACTTTGCCTTTCTTAATTCTAATACGAATTTCTCTAGAGTGGTCCTCATTTAACCCTAGATATGTGAAGTTTTGGACTCTTTCTAGTTGTTTATGGTGTATAAATAAATGGTAGTTTACATTAGAGTTTTTGCTGATTTCATCGTTTCGAAATTTCTACTAGTCCTTTCCATTTGGTTAATTAGCACTAGAAAGTCTTTTGCACTATCAGCAAGAAGAACAGTATCGTCATCGTATCGGAAATCTTGAACAATAAGGTTGACTACACACAATCCTACCGAGCTCATCTCTCGATTTTGAATGTTTTGGAATAATTATTATCGTCAACTTAAAACGCCTTTTTATTACGTATATAAATGTCCTATTATCCTTAGGTCATTATCTTATATACGTTTTTTTTTTTGAGAATATTGATAGGCTCATCAAACTTATGATACCTACTTTGGCAAAATCTGTGGGTGTTTCTCAATAATGTCTATGAGACATATATTGCGTATAAATGCGTATTATTAACGCATATATTGTTACTATATGTCAAATTTTCTCAAGTATATTAAACAAATCTATTACGAGATAAACACATCATTAATTTCTGTGACAAAAGAAATATTCTAATGAAACGATAAGGATTTAATATTAATTTTGTAATAAAAAATAAGTATCTAGGAGATAAGATCATTTTTTTAAAATTGTATTTAAATTAAAACAAGTGCATGTGTTTATAAGCATGTAGATTAAATATCATAGTCAATAACAGTAGAAGATTCTAATGCATAAAGCTGCAGTAACAAGGATTAACAAACAAAAATAAGTGATAAGTGACCAGTTAATTAAATGAGGTAGTACATAAAACAAACTAGAATAGGCCCTCGATATTATACTGAACTACTACCGAAACAACAAAACTGAACCCGAAAGTCCTTCCCCATTTCCGCACCAGCTAAGCAAACAGGAGACTAACAAGTCTGATGAAAAGTCGTCACTCTCGAACACACAGATAAACAAATCTACTGGATTGTCACACTAGATAGAGATACCACTATGAGAGCGGTCGGGAATTTTTTTAACCATTACCCCAAAATATTTTTGTGTAAGTTGATATTACCCCATGGTGAAGAACAAAAAAAAACGAAATCGCTTCTTTTTAGCATCTTTCATATTATAGCCCCCATGATAATTTTAACAAAAAAAGAATAACTAAAAATTTAATTTAAACATCATTTATTCACTTTATCACTGTAATAACTCGTAAACATTCTAGGAGCATTGACTTACCTAATGGAGAAAAATTTGAAACTTGCAATATTTTGTATCAAATGCATGAAAACAATCAACATGTCAGCTTAGATAGTTTACTGGACTAAATAAGAGAAGGACAAGTTTCTGAAATTAAGAGGACTAGCCTTTGGAAAGTGTTGAGAGATTTAGGATTTAAATTCAAAACAGAAAATAATAGGTTACTTTTCTGCGACAGGAGTAGTGTGATTCACAAAAAAATTAAATTTTTGTGAGAATATACTTTACTTAAATTTGAAAATGCAACATTCGTATACTTAGATGAGACATGGATATTTGCAAAGAGTGGAATTAAAAGAATTTGACAAGATGATAGCTTAAAATAAATAAAACACACAAATAGCGAAGGTAAAAGACACATCATTCTTCATGCAGGAAGGAAAAAAGGCTTTATAGAAAATCCAGATTTGATTTTTTCTTCAAAATCAAAATCTGCTGATAACCATGAAAACATGAATGCAAATATGTTTGTTAAATGGCTTGAGGAGAAACTACTGTTACCTAGTCTGAGTGAACCATCAGTTAGAGTTTTAGATAATGTACCTTAACATTCATAGATTTTGAAGAAACAGCCAAAACAGTCATGGAACATAATGAGCATAAAAAATTGGTTAGTTAAAAATAATATCAATTTTCTAGAATATGCCTTCAAATCAGAGTTACTGGAAATTTCGAAACGTAATGAAAAAACAACTGTTTATATAGTTGACCAAATTGTATCAAGTTAGGAAGATCAAGTACTACGGTTACCACCACATCACTGCCAGTTTAATCCCATAGAAAACTTGTACCCCAAAACTGTAAATAAATGTGAAAAATTAATAGAAGAGGGGTAGATCCGGGAAAATAAAATTAGTGAAATAATCCAATGATTATAGATTTACATAATGATAGCGGTAGTGAATTTAGTGACAATGATGATTTATAAATTTAAATAATCAGTAAGTACACTATTAGGTATACAAGTTAATTATTATATTTATACATTCATTATTAGCCAAATAAACAATATTACTTAAAATTCCATTTTAATTTTTCCTTCCTATTTTATACAAACTAACTCTAACTGATAATAGAGGCAAAATATTCTAAATAAAGTATGTAATTAAAAAGATTATGGAGAACTTCAGTGCAGTTTACTGTGCCTTTACTACAATGAAAAATTTTATGCTAATTCCATTAATTGTTTAGAGGTGTAAGTTGGTTGAATGTACTGTATATGATACAATGATGGGAGAAATATTAAACAAAAAAATATCACATAATAATATCTAAGTTATGATAGAACAGAGGAAAATTAGACAATAGATAAAAGTAGTAAACAGAGATAATAGTATATTAAAAACAGGAAACTGTCTGATTCTAATTTTAAATACAAAGTCACAAAGGAGTGCAGTATATAAAACAAAAAAAAAACAATATTTGTGAAAAATATTTTGCAAAAAGGATAACTCATGTTGTAAACTGAGAAAAACTATTTTATATATTAGAAAGTTTCTAATCTAAAAATTTTATATACTTAATACAATAATACAAATAAAAAATATTTAATCTACTGAATGTAAGCCTTATGTAACTGATAAACTTTAGAGGAAATCAACTTAGATTGTAATTGCAAGTATGTGTAAGTCAATTAATTTGGCAACATTAAGATTGCAGAGATTGTAAAAATAGAAAAATCCAACTCATAAAATAAAAATCATATGTTCTGTCAATCAAACTTGAATAATCACCAACAATCTTTAATTTCAAAATATCTGTACCTACTTATAAAACAAGAAGTAAATAGATATCACTTACTAGTAAATGTATTTCCCTCTATTTCTCTTCCATGGCTCTGAAATATAATGGCTAACTGGAGTATAAGTTGTGGGGCAGCTTCCAAAAAACATTCTAAGACTCTTAACAAAGCTACATCTGAATCTTCTTTGACCATAAGTTCATAATATTTCCTTTGGTTTTCTACATCTTGATCTTTTTCCGCCTTCTGAGATCTTAAGGCATATTTTAAAGCATCAAAGTACCTTAGAATAGGTGCCAATTGAAATATCAGAACAAAAAGAATACACATTCGTTTCCTAGTAAATCTTTTGGTTAAATTCGTTCCCGTATTTACATTCCCGTTGTCTAGAACATACATTCTCACACTAAAAGCTGTGTTGATGATGGCAGGTATTATAATGAAGGATAAAGTGGCAAAGAAATAGGCTAATTCTTTGTTAGCGTAGTATCTGTAGGCTACATTACAGTCGAAAACTACATCTGCAATGTGGCTGATAATGGAAAACACAAACCCTGCAACATCCCAATTTGTAGCTCTATCTCTAGATGGTATCCTATCGACTTCGTCCCGTTCAGAATTGCACATCTTGGTTTGATACAAAATGGTCATTTTTTTCATGCAATGCCCGATATAATATTGTCCTTGCACTTAGTTCTTTTTTTCATAATATTCAAACACTATCTTCACTTATTTATAAATATTGTTATAAATAAAAGAACTACAAAAGGTTGACAGGAACATTTAAGCACATAAGAAAATACATCTTTTAACAATAACACAGTTTTGGTGATTCATCGCGACTTCTCACTGTTTCTAAGAATGAAATACCTCCGCAACGACAAGTCTGAACCATTTCAGAAATTAGAAAAGTGAGGACGAAAACTTATGTGTTAAAAGAGCGAGACGAAATGACGAAACATACGGACATAACTACAACAATAATGAACTTAGGAAGTTGTGAGTTCGAGTTGTGACAGGTTCAAAAGTATTCCCCTGATGAGTCAGGAGTTCATTTACATTTCACGATTATAGTCGACCATTCATTGGCGTACAGGTAGTTATATCTGTTTGTATCAAAGTATTAAAAAATATAAAAATTATATTTTGGATTTGTGTATATATTAGTGTATTTTCATCATAAATGAAATTATGTTTATACCGTGTATACCACACGTTTATGTTGTGTCTTTTTCTCTTCAAAGTAAAAGCTTCTAAAGACAAACTTGAGAAAAATCTCTCTCTTTCAACCTTTATTCATCCCAACCTGAATTTTGGCCTCCTCCGATTTTTATCTTTGTCTGTGATGTGCCAATTTTATTCACTATTTACCTGTCACTGCTTCGTTACAAGATGCTTCGTGTGTCGCCTGTTATCGTCGCATCTAGCTATGTGGCCGGCCCATTACTATTCCATTTTTACCAGCTCCTCCACGATATCCTTGAATTTGTTTTCCGTCTTATTTCAGTTCTTCTCAGTCAACCTAAACTTTGTACGTATTGTAATATAAGTTCCCTACATTTGGCGCAAACCGCGTAATTTTGTAATTATTTAATTATTAATTTATTTAATTAATTAAAATAAATTACCTATTTTTTAACAACTCTTACATTTTTCATAAATTCTTCTCAGTTTCGATAAATGATAGGTACTGTAATTATTAAGAATCTGAACTGTCAATCGGTGTCATACCCCTTACATGATAATTGCTAGGAAGTCTTGAAATTTCTTAAGTACATAGGAAGAAAGGTAGAAAGAACAACACTCCTCTATATCCGCGCTTTTCTAATTTTGTTCGATCTCTATTTTTCTTATATTACTGTTCATTGGAAAAGTTCTAGTGAATTGCATATTTGTACAGAGGCTTCTTTTTGTTAAGGAATTTGGCACTATAGAACTGTTTCTTCTTATCATATTTCTATGCCTTTCAAGTCTTGTACTCAGGTTCCGGTACTTCTTTTGTCCAATTCTTCAAATTGAAACAAATTAGTACAAAAGAAAATTGAATAAAAAATTAAACCTTGGAAATTGTAAATTTGAATATTATTTGATCAGAATAAACCAGAATAAATTTTGATAAAGATTACATCTTTTGTTGTGTCTTTACGTTCAAATTTCTCAAAAGATTTTTCTCTTAAAATTTCTCTCAATATAAAAAATATGTCGGACACTTTTAGAAGTACATCACCTTCAGTTTATAACGTGGTATCTTTTTATCAATCTAAAAATGTATGTAAAATAAACCACAGAACAGAAATCACCACACATCTGGGTGTATGATTAAACTATAAAGAAAAATAGAAACAAGTATTTTTATATTTTTGTTATACCTATTTACCTATTTTATTCTACGTGTATGAAATGATGTCAAAAAGGATCCAAAAAAATAGTGACAACTGAGGATTCATGGCTACTACCTACACACCTGGCTGGTACCTACCGACCGTACCGTACAATCAACAATAAAAAAGAAGGGAAAGTTAGGTTAGATTTAGGTATGTTTGTTGATCTTGTTGATATATTTAAACGTGTTTTATAATTATAAAATATGGCTAAATCACAACAAAAAGAAGCTACTGCTGTAAATACGAATAATTTAAGTGCAAAAACGACAAAAACGAGGTACGTACATTTTTCTTTTTTCACATAAATTGTTTCCTGAATATGAACTTTAATGTTGCAAAAATCCATAACTATTATATTCACTGTTATATGAAACATATCTTTCTATGATTTTAGAAGTGGATCCAAACCGGAAGCCGTTCCAAGAGGTAAACCAAAGTCAGGCAGAATTTGGAAATCCGAAAGAAAAAAATTTTCATCAGTGATAAAAACTAAAGGAATTAAAAGCTCATTTGAAAGGAAAGAAGCTCTACGACAGAAATTGAAGCAAGTGAAAGAATTAACGAATTCCTTGAAAGCCGCAAAACAAGAAGAAAAGGAAAAGAAAAAAGAAAGGAGAAGGGCAAATTTAAAAAAGCAAGAAGAGAATAGGTTAAAATCAGAAGTGGTACAAGTGATCACAAATACTAAGAAACTGAAGAAAACAAAGAAGAAACACCTAAGGAACATTGAGAAAAGAGATACTACTGTTGTGTCTAAATAAGTTGTATAGAATGTATATTTTTGTTTACTTAATTATTAAAATTAATTAGATAATCAGTGTGCTGTTTGCTCAAAACCGTTTAACTGTGTTTCTTTCCTTATTTGACTGCTGTTACCCAAATTACTGCTTATCAAAATATTAAGAACTCCTCTATATTGACCCATAAGCATTTGCCTTCTGATAATCTAAGGATTTAGTTAAACCAATTATGATCCTTCTTTACTTAGTGTTGTGATGTACCTACAATCTACTATAAAACTAGTTATCATTTGCAGATTTATCAGTTTTAATATAGTTTTAGTTTGAGCCACACTTTGGATTCATACATGATTATGTAGGTTGTCTTTCTGGATTTACATTCTCTTTCAGTCTGAACACATGGTATGCATTTCTTTAAGAAATATATTGTTATATTAGTAATATTTTTTAGAATGAATTAGAAGTTTTGCAATAATATCAAATGTTAGTTACATACAGTCTTACCAAGTGAGTTGTACAAAATGGATTTACTGAATTAAATATAGAAAAGTTTGACACAGTTTTCAAATATTGCAATTTTATCTGGAAACAATTGTTAGTAAAAGCTGGGAAGGCCTACATGAGTGTGCATGTTAAGCAGACAAAACTGAATAATATCTGTCTTTATTTGTCATTTCATACTATATAAAATGTAACTGAATATATAAATAGGATGAAGATAAATTATTAGCAGCTAGTTTAATATAGTATAATAGTTTTTTTTTCTCTCCTAGAAGACTATTAATTGACCTTGCACTTATCATCAAGGTTTATGCACCATATTACTTTTTACTTGTCAAGTAGATTCATAGTCTATTGTATGTGTGTACCTTTTATTTGTATATATATATTTATTTAAATTTGATTTATTATATCTAACTAATTTAGATCTCTTTTCCATTGTTGGTGATGCTTTTTAACTGCATATATGCTATTTTAACTGCTTTCTGATATATTGATACATCCTCTTTGTTATTCTTAATAAGCAAAGTGCCTGTTGCTTTGAAAACTTCTAAATATCGAGAAATACTCACACCAGCATTTTTCAAATCAATCTGGCCAGCTTTCCATGCCATATAGCAGCAAGTAGCATCATATTAATATGATTTTAAGGTTTAATGTAATAACTCTATCAATGAAAATTTCTTTAGTATGTAGAAGGAAGCTCTGGTTTTTTCAATGCATATTCTTATTTATTTGTTCATATCCATTTATCGTCAACAGTGGCGCCCAAATAGGTGATTTATCTTGAGATTTTCTTTTTATTATTCTAATTTGAGCAATTCTATCAATATGTTCATTTCATTCTATTTTTTCTTTTCTTTCTATGTATCAACTGGATTTATTTTGTATTCCCTTTTTCACTTCTTTCTTTATTATATAAAGTTGTGTTTGTTATTCTTCTTAACATTTTTATATCATTTGTTTCTACTGTTTGTTGTGCTCTACTTGTGTCAGGCTTTATTTCTGCAATGTACATAATGACATGGTATATACATATACATATACTTCATCAAATGACTGCATTATATCTCATCAGAGAAAAAACTGATAATGGATTTGAATTTGCTATTAAAGGTTTTGCAGGGTAAACTATTAAGCCGAAAGATTAATACTGGTTCCAATAAAATTAGAAAAAACATTATTCATGAATTAGGATAGCTAGAGCAATTTTGTTAATGGATTCATTATCTACAAATCAAAAATGCAATGTAAATGATGATAAACTTTAATTGTCATTCCTTCGAGATGTTACCTCTTATGTGGGTTTTTTTATACAAGGCCCTGGTTCTTGATATATCGGTAGTTAAACATTTAGAAAGTATCTTCGAATTTTTTCTATCTATATAATTTTCTCAATTGCTTTTATTATAAGTCTCCATTTGCCATTGTATTTAATTAAGACTAAAATAACTTATTGCTATTTTCCTAAATAAAAAATAATGTTAATCACTACCAGATAACATATAACCATTTTTACAAAACATTTTATTACAAACATCCAAAACTATTACAAATTTATCACATTCTAAATACTCCAAATGTAGTATCCCCTATTGCTTTGTTCAAAGTTACTGCCAAACTTAGTCCTAGTACTTTTCTGGTATCCTTTGGGTCTATAATACCATCATCCCATATCCTAGAAACAAATAGATGTTATGAACATTGGCTTTTATCAATATTACAATAAGTTTATATAAAAGAAATAAATGTTTGGTTGAGTAACAGGACATATGTCAAGAATGGATGAATAGTCCACCTCTATAGATGGTTGTATTTTTATTCTCAATAACTTGCAGTTTTAAAAGGTAGAGTAAAAATTATAAAAAATAAAAAAAAGGACATCCAGTACAATAAACCAGCATATCTATGTTTTATAGACCTGACAAAGGCTTTCGATCGCATCCAAGTTGAAGATGTCTTACACCTACTTTATAAAAGAAACATACCAATCAATATTATGGAAACCATCGAAAACATCTACTTCCATAATCGAATACAGGCAAAGATAAATGGAAAACTATCACAGTGTATACCAGTACAAAGCAGAATCAGACAGGGTGACTCGTTAAGCCCACTTCTCTTTAATATAATAATGGACGAAATAATACAAGCAGTACATAAAGCTCATGGTTAACAGAATGGGGAAGAAAGAAATCCAAATATTATGTTATGTAGACGACACCGCATTAATCGCCGAGACAGAAGACGAGCTGCAAAGAATAACACACATCTTCAATACAACAGCTAAGAAATACAATATATACCCACTACAATGTAAAATCAAAATTGATGGAAAATAATAAAGCAGGAAGCAAGGTTTAGATATCTGGGAATAGATATAAGTAACTAGATACAGAGATGTTGAAGAAGAAGTGTGACAACAAAGCTAAAAAGCAAGTAAAGCGGCGGTATCTCTTAATGACACAATCTGGAAGAACAAACACCTAAGACAAGACACAAAAACAAGAATCTATAAAGCAGCAATTAGACCTATATTAACATACACGGCGGAGACAAGACCTGACACATCTAAAACGAGACGACTACTAGAAACAACAGAGATAAAAATACTTCGACGAATATCAGGGAAAAGTCTGTTGGATATGGAGAGAAGCGAAAACAACAGGAGAATGCAATATAGAAGACATAAATCGATGGGTGACAAAACAGAAACAGGGATGGAACGAACACTATCCTATCCTCTGCCATTAGTAGAATGGCAGAGGATAGGATAGTATGAATAGCACGAGATAAGTCAAAAAATGGACGAAGAAGTATTGGCAGACCAAGAAAAAGATGGTGCGATAATTTAAACAATGTAGGAGGCTAATATTGAAGAAGAAACAGGTTTTAAAACCTACATACAAGTAGGAAGAAAAAGAAGAAGAGAAAATTCTAAAGAACACAATTGGTATTTGAAGCCATAGAAAAACTAATTGTCGAAAGTAAAATTAATGACAAATGACAACGGAAGATCTCCCACACACCGGGTAAATCAAGCGATAGAAATAATTGGTTATGGTGTATAGGAAGATTGGCTACAAAAATATGTGGCAGTCCAAAAGAGAGAAGAATGTAAAACCACGATCCGAGCAATCGAAACATGATGAGGCTGCAGACGAGAGTCAACATGAATAGGATTTTATCTCATGATCTATTCATATGATCTGAGCAAAGTTTTTGAATTGATAATAGTAATAGATAGCACATATCTTTAATGTTTGGTTGATAAAGAACTTATAATATGTAGGAATGTAAATTGTAATCTGATAAATACTTTGATATGACCTCGATAAAAAGATTATAGTACACAATGATGGCATTAAAAAAAGAGTGAAACAGTATGAGGCATTGTAGACTAGCACGGTGCTTCATACTATCATTACTCATAAGGTGACAATAGGAGTCTTGTAATAGTGAACTGACGTATATTTTGTGTGTACAAGGAAGTGGCAGGTGTGCGTGAGAGAGAAAAAATAAAAGAGAAGACGGTGGAAGAGAAAAAGAAAGAGAAATACAATTTCCTCAATCAAACACGTATTTTTTTTGTTAATGTCTAGGTTTAGAGGGTGACTGTTTTTGAGAACAAGACAAACCTGTGATAAATATAGACCAGAGGAGAAGAATGGGATTATCGATGTTATGTGTTTGAATAGCACCAGATTTATTTGTTTTGTGTGAAAAAGTAAACTATTTGTAGCCTTACCTTGCAGTACTAAAGTAGGGAGATGACTCATGGTCAAACTTCTCTCTAATAGGTTTCTCAAACTCCATTTTTTTCTCTTCAGTCAAGAAGAGAATAGGTTAAAATCAGAAGTGGTACAAGTGATCACAAATACTAAGAAACTGAAGAAAACAAAGAAGAAACACCTAAGGAACATTGAGAAAAGAGATACTACTGTTGTGTCTAAATAAGTTGTATAGAATGTATATTTTTGTTTACTTAATTATTAAAATTAATTAGATAATCAGTGTGCTGTTTGCTCAAAACCGTTTAACTGTGTTTCTTTCCTTATTTGACTGCTGTTACCCAAATTACTGCTTATCAAAATATTAAGAACTCCTCTATATTGACCCATAAGCATTTGCCTTCTGATAATCTAAGGATTTAGTTAAACCAATTATGATCCTTCTTTACTTAGTGTTGTGATGTACCTACAATCTACTATAAAACTAGTTATCATTTGCAGATTTATCAGTTTTAATATAGTTTTAGTTTGAGCCACACTTTGGATTCATACATGATTATGTAGGTTGTCTTTCTGGATTTACATTCTCTTTCAGTCTGAACACATGGTATGCATTTCTTTAAGAAATATATTGTTATATTAGTAATATTTTTTAGAATGAATTAGAAGTTTTGCAATAATATCAAATGTTAGTTACATACAGTCTTACCAAGTGAGTTGTACAAAATGGATTTACTGAATTAAATATAGAAAAGTTTGACACAGTTTTCAAATATTGCAATTTTATCTGGAAACAATTGTTAGTAAAAGCTGGGAAGGCCTACATGAGTGTGCATGTTAAGCAGACAAAACTGAATAAT